CGGAGCTTTCGTCGGGGGAAATAAAAAACGATATGCATGTATGGACGCCGGTGAATTTCGACCCTAAAAAATGTGCAAGGTGAAAAGGTACGGGAGCCCGTGAGAGTGAATCAAAACGCGTCGTTTCTCTTCCCTCGATTTTTTCTACCCCTTTCTTCCTTTTCTGGCCTCTTTTTTCCCTACTCGCTCTTTCCCTGCTCTTTTTTCCGTTTCCCACTGGCCCCCTTCTTTTTCATTAAATCGATAGAGTGGACAGGCGATGTCCATTCGGTTTCGGGAACGAGAAAGTTTATCGCGTTTGACGAGTGAATATTCATTTCTTTGGTTGAGTGTCTCTTTCTTATTGATTCTAGGGCAGTAGGGGATGTCGGGTGATCGTGGGTTTGTGTGATTTTTGAGGGGAGGGATACTTTATTCGAATGGTTTGTGCACTTATTCAGTGCACTGTGGGAAACTTTAAGTTTGAGTTTAGCGGATTTTGGATTTCTTAAGTGTTACATGCTGGTGAGATATTCTTAGTTCCGTTGGAAGTTAGAATTGTGTAATAATTAACTTTCTGAAAGCAGTTCCTTTGAAAGTTTTGTACTTTGCAGTTTTCAAACTTTTGAGTGACGAACTTTGTACTAAAAATTCATTCTTTTGTCATAGAATTTATGATTTGACGAAATAACAGATTAATATCTTAATATAATATTTATCATAAATCTCGATATCGACGTTGTTTTTTCTCTTTTTGTATCCCTTTTTCCCCTAAAGGACGTTTCTGCCTAGAACATTTTGCATGGAATCGATCAGATTCTAAAGAAATATGAGTACAAGAACGGACACCCGGGAAATTGCTCTGTTTACATTCAATTACTTACGAGCGCACCTTGAAATAAACAAGATTATACATCTAATGAAATATGCGCTCGCGCTTCGTGTCTCGATTTCATTTGGCCGCGTCTTCATGCCGGCTCGTTTTCCGCCGAGGTCGTAATCGCCGTAATTTTAGTGCTACATATAAATTTTCTCCCGTTTACGTTCGGGCATCGAGCAGATTCGTATAATTCCTCCGAATGAAAATGTTATTACACCGGTTTAAACGCGCGTCACGTTTTCGCAATGAAACATTATTTTTTAATTAATTGGACGCTTCAGTTGTTTCGACCGCTCGTTTACGGTTGTCTTTCGTGTCAATGGTTTCAATGTACATATCATTTAAACGGACGTCAGTGACATGAAAAGAGTTAATATCTTAATAAATGTATTATCGCGTCAACTTTGCAATCCGTTGAACTTTACTCTCTAACTCTCTAACCTTTTGGAAATGTACTCATACGTGAACGTTATGTTATTTCTAATTATATTTGCAGCAAATAGTTCTCTGAATTCATAAAACAATATACGATTGTCTACATTTAAATAACAATATAAAATAAATAACAAGTTACAATCAGATATATTTCCTATTTCGCGAATCAAGATTTACGCCTGACCATTCATCGATCAATTCTACTCGCACTGTCATTTGAAGTTCCCTAAAATGTTGAAACGACGAAACGTAGAGCTAACAAAGGTGAATAAAACAGCAGAAAACGAAACA